GACTCACTGCTGTCTGCGCAGAGTCTGCTTAGGATCCTACAAACATTTAATTTCAATTTATTATTTAATTATCTTTCAAATTAAAAAAATTCAACAGGTTGAACACTTTCACACATACGCATTCAAAATAAAACCTATGCCTATTTTACTCTAACATTCATGACTCTTAAAAACTAAGCTAGGGGCGCCTGGGTGGCGCAGTCGGTTAAGCGTCCGACTTCAGCCGGGTCACGATCTCGCGGTCCGTGAGTTCGAGCCCCGTGTCAGGCTCTGGGCTGATGGCTCAGAGCCTGGAGCCTGTTTCCGATTCTGTGTCTCCCTCTCTCTCTCTGCCCCTCCCCCATTCATGCTCTGTCTCTCTCTGTCCCAAAAATAAATAAACGTTGAAAAAAAAAAATTAAAAAAAAAAAAACAAAAAAAAAAAACTAAGCTACATTGGGGACACCTGGCTGGCTCAGTGGGAAGAGCATGCGACTCGATCTCAGAGTCGTGAGTTCGAGCCCTACACTGGGTGTAGAGGTTACTAAAAATAATAATAACAACAATAAACTTAAAAAAAACTAACCCATATTGTGTCTAATACTATTCTTCATGCCAGATACCATATTTTACTGCTCTAACAGGTTAAAATCAATTGCATTTTTTTTCAAAAGTCAAAAAGGATGCATCCCCAGGAAAGAGGAAGAGAAGTCTCCAAGGGACACACATGCTCCAACAGCATCAGTTTATTTTCCACCAGATACAGAGATGCCCAGGCAAAGACAACAGGACCGGGAGTTCATGCATGGCCAGCCTCTCAGTAATTCACAAAGAGCAGATGTGTTAACAAAAGCTGAAGTAATGAAGCCTTTCGGTTGTGTCCTTTAATTTGTCTCATCCGCAAAGCCCAAGATTTACTAATAGGCCGTGCTGCAGACTAGAAATCTCAGCCTGGTCTTGAAGCCACCATCTTTAGCCTGGGGCAAAGTCACTTTCCTCTCTTGGGCCCCCTTTGAATGTACAGAACAGCAAGAGAGGATCAGGTCTGCAGTTCTCTTGGGCTCCGACAGCTGACGCTGCTGGTATGTCAGGGCTCAGTGGCCTGGACCTGAGGAAGCCCTCTCAGCACCCAGACAGCTCCCTACCTACATCCAAAACACCCCACTTCCCGCCAGGGAACATCCAGGCAATTCTTTGTCCCGCATCCTGACCTGGAGCCGGCCTCTACCTGGAACCTCAATTCCAGAATTAAAAGCCAGCCCCCCAAAATTAACTATCAGACATGCTAAAAGGCAATCTTAAAGGCAGGTGGCCACCTTCCTGCCCCGGGCTAAAGTGTCATTAAGAGTCAACGCGAGGTGGGGTGCCTGGTGGCTCAGCTGGCTGGGCGTCCAGCTCTTGACTTCGATTAAGGCTCAGGTCATGATCTCGCAGTTTGTGGGTCTGAGCCCCTGAGTCAGGCGTGGAGCCTGCTTGGGATTCTCTCTCTCCGTCCCCCTCTGTCCGCCACCCCCCTCCCAACCCTCCTAACCCTGCTCACCCACACACTCTCTAAATAAATAAACTTAAAAAAAAAAAATACAATGAGAGAAATTTAATATCTCAGAGCCTAAGTAAAAAGACCTGTTAACCACAATGCAGAGTAAAACAGCAAAAAACAAAATCTGCATACACACCAACATGCTCGTGGCCAAGAACAGGGAGGGGTTAACAGAGAGACAGCTGTATACCTGTGACCACACTGAAACCTTAGTTTTCATTAGTGTTAGGGACTGAACTGCGTGTCCACCCCTCTACCCAAAATTCAAATGCTGAAATCTGTCTCATATCATAAGACACCAGATCTGCCTGTGCCTTGACCTTGAACTTCCTAGCCTCCATAACTATGAGAAATCGATGTTTGCTGTTGAAGCCCCCCACCTGTGTAATTTGTTATGGCAGCCCAAGCGGACTCAGTTACTAAGCGCATGAAGAGACAAGAGGCATCTGGAGGGCAAAAGGTAAAGAAAGAGCCAGTAAGATCTTCATGCTCTGGGGGTGGCACAGCCCTGTCCTTGCCTGGTCTCCTTTCCCTCCACACACCCCACCTGTGGGGCTCCTCCGAAGTCACACATACATATATTAGCACTATGCCTCTTAACAGAAGAGAGACACTTAATAAAAGCTTAATTTTTCAGAGAAATGCCCCAAATCCATACATTCAGCTATACGGTATCAAACTGTATATGCTACAATATTCTCATTCTTAAAATCTTTTATAAACAAATAATAGACCCTCTCAAAATAATCCTAATGGTTTTCAACATTCAAAAAAATAGTTCTTGTATCCTATTATTAAAGTATCCTCATCTTTGTAGGTTGGGGACATGCCAACAGCAAGGGGATACGAGAAAGGTACAATAAAGTAAGAGGGACAGGAAGGACATGTGGGGTCAGGGAAGGCCACAAGCTTTGCCACTGGACACAACAAGGCCCAAAGTCCAGCTGTATTTGCTAGGTGGGACACCAAAGTTCTGAGTGTTTCCATTTGCCCATCAATTAAAATGAGATGATTAGGGATGTCCAACAAAGGGTGCCTGGTTCTTGTCACCAGGACCATTAATGTGGAAGGTGGATGACAGTTTGCTGGGACTGATACTACAGGAGATTTTTAATTTTTTTTTTTTTTTTTTTTTTTTTTAAGAGAGAGAGCACACAAGAGAATCTTAAGCAGGCTGCTCGCTGAGCATGACTCAACTCCATGACCCATGAGATCATGACCTGAGCCAAAATCAAGAGACAGACCCTCAACCAATTGGGCCACCCAGGAGCCCTAATATAGGAGATATTTTTTAAATGGAGAACTCTATACCTCCTTCCAATTGTAATGTCTAAAATTTCACAGACTTCAAATTTCCAAAGACAGTTACCACTAAATAAAGTCAATTACCATGGCCTTAAAAATGAATAAACCAGGGGCGCCTGGGTGGCGCAGTCGGTTAGGCGTCCGACTTCAGCCAGGTCACGATCTCGCGGTCCGTGAGTTCGAGCCCCGCGTCAGGCTCTGGGCTGATGGCTCAGAGCCTGGAGCCTGTTTCCGATTCTGAGTCTCCCTCTCTCTCTGACCCTCTCCCGTTCATGCTCTGTCTCTCTCTGTCCCAAAGATGAATAAACGTTGGAAAAAAAAAAACTTTAAAAAGAAAAAAAAAAAATGAATAAACCAGAGCATGGAGAGACCAGAACTGCCATCCTGAAGGTCTCCACATTGGAGGGAAGAGTCCTTGCAAACAATTTCATGTATGTCACAAACGAGATGCACTCAAGGTAACAGTAAATCTAATTACACAAAATGAGAAAATTTTCTACATTCCTGTAGTATTTCCCAAAAGAGTCAAAAATGAAAAGCTCTTTGTGTCATGTGTGAATTTATGGAAAAGATGCAAAGCAAGTAAAAACAGTTTATCTGGCTCTTCTATTGCTTTTCTCATTTTAACAGAATTGTTGATATCACATTAAATTTTCTTCTTGCGGGGCACCTGGGTGGCTCAGGCAGTTAAACATCTGACTCTTGATTTCAGGTCAGGTCACGATCTTGTGGTTTGTGGGTTCGAGCCCCAAGTCAGACTCTGCACCAACAGTGCGAAACCTGCTTGGGATTTTCTCTCTCCCTCCTCTCTGCCCCTCCCCTGCTCTCTCCCTTCAAAATAAATAAACATTAAAAAAAAAATCTTCTGGAAACTTCCTTTTGAACACTACTCTGACCAATTGCTTTTATGGTTTATAACATTATGTGATATTATAAAATTGGGTACATAATACCTTTGGAGATACATCAAGTTTTAGAGGCTTACCTTCCCCCAAAACTACTAACTCCTACTCCCACTGTAAAAAAGAAATCTTTTAACCACAGGACATCTCTTTCCTTAGTGGATAAAACCTATGTAAGACTGTAACCCCTGACACACAGCTTCTTCCGGCAATCCCTCTGAGGGCAGTGAGAACGGCAGACCCATCATCCCCCAAGCGTCCACCAGACAGGACCCACCTACTAACACTAAAATGGTAAATGAGGCCTGTCCCAGAAACTACCACTCACCCAAAAATCAGCCCTTCCAGGACAGGTAAGAAAAGAGTGCCACGGACACAGGTGTCACTGTGCGACCACAGTGGGGACGAGATGTCAAGTGCTAAAACCACTGTGTCCATTTTTTAAAGACTTGTATTGCATACACTGTGTTTCAAGGACAACCTACGCAATACTTATGATTCACTAGTTATTTGTAAGCACCTTGTCAGAGGCCAACATGTGACCATGTTCTACCAAGAGAAGCAAGCTGCAGACCACGGCTGGGAAGTCAACCCATCGCTAGATTCCACTATCTTGCACATGGGCTGGCACCCACTACTGGCACGGGAGGTCCAGGCCAGGCAGGGGACAAGACCAAGGGTGCAGGGCCGGCTCCGCCATCCACGCGCAGTGAGCGATAGCAAGGGCTCTGAGTGTGCACCCGAGAACACAAGTGTGCACTCCTGCCTGGTCTGGCCACGGCTCCGACACGTGACACTGTTCTGTGATCATCCTCCTCTGCCTGCCTGTCTTACTCCTGAAATCAATTTTTTTAAGTTTTCAAATTCCTGATTCTAATTAGTTATAAATGAAAATGTAACACACATATTTTGGAAGCTAAACTACCATCTGAAATAAGGAAGAGCAATGGGGTATCAGCTCCACGGAAGTTAAAACCAGTTCTGGAAGACAAGCTAACAAACTTCTTATGTAAGATAATGACAAGCAAAATCCTTCACGACTTCCATGGATGAATGCACTGGCTTCCCAGGAAACAACACAACTGGCTTCAAAAGCAGACCTTAAATCTTCAGTAATGTTATTAGAAGCAGAAATATATGTTATAAGGATATATATTGGTCCCTTTTTCATGCAACTGAAGGGGGAAACTGAAACGGATAAAAACAATCATCTCTACAGCCCAGATTTAGTGAGAAGAACTCATGCGTGTTTAGGCGTCAGGTGTGATACTTACTAGATCTAGTGCAGAGCCTCCACCAAGGTATTCCATTATTATCCACAATTTAGTGTCCTACAGAAAAAAAGAAAACAAAAAAAGGAAATGATTTTTCAAAAGCAAAACTAGAAAAGATTTTAAATAACCTCAGGGTATTTTTCACTGTTATCTTAGAACTGGAAAATTTCATAAATGCGGAACAGCAAGAAAGCGCGTGCACGTGAGTCCCGTGCAGGGAAAAAGCCCTCCCAGTGCAGACGGGGGCGGGGCTGGCCCAGTTCATCCCGGCCTGCGGCAGCCACACAGAAGCAGCAGGTTCAGGGCCTACTGAACCAGAATCTCTCAAGGAGCGGATGGAAGGCACGGCGGTCAGAGTAGGGGGCTCCCCTTCTAAAGAACCTCAGGTGGTGATCCTCAAGAACAGCTGGATGTGGGGATCAGGGACCGCAGCGTCACACGTGGCACACCCCAGTGTCAGCTAGGAGGCACCCGGAGCATGCAGCCGCGGGAACAGGTCCCTGCCCTCTCTCTGCCTGAAGCTCTGGGATGTGCAGGGCCCAGGTTCCCTGGGAGCTGAGCAAAGGTGAGGACTCCTGGGGGGAAGGGGAGGACGGACAGCAGTGCAGCCTTTCATCCACCCCCTTGAAAGGCAGCCAATTTCCGACAGCCCAAAGGCTACCGTAATCTTCAGGGAGCTTTCCAGGAAAGCAGGCCCCAGCCTAATGCTTGTGTCTGTGTCCTCACCATTGTCCATTCCGTGACTTTTCCCTTTGTCTCTCCTGAAGCCACTAGGCCCCCATGACTTCTAGAGTTTGTTTGTTGGTTTTTAAATAGGCTTCACACCCAGCGCGAATCCCAACACAGGACTTGAACTCACAATCCTGAGATCAAGGCCTGGGCTGAGATCAAGAGGCAGACACTTAACCTACTGAGCCACCCAGGTGCCCCCAGAGTTCTTTTTTTAAACACAAATCCTAAAGCGATACTCACTTGAAAACCAACAAGTAAGCCAATTTCCACACTGCACTTGGGATAGGGAGCATCCGTGAGGTGGTGAGGAGCCCCCCGGGCTCGGGGACAATCCAGACCAGGGTGTGGGTCCTGAGCCCTCCTACAACCGGAGGGACCCAGGCAGATACTTCCTCTCCAAGCCTCTGCTGTCAACAGTGGCTGACCCACAGCCAGCAGGCAGGCAAGAAGGCCCCCTAGTGATGTGGATACTGGTCACGGCTCTGGTGGCGAGGAACCCGTGAGTGATTCTACGGATGCGTGACCCAGCACAGCCCTTTCCCACCAGCGACCCCCAGTCCCACCGACGCCATCATTCAGTGGCCACCTTCCCTTGGATGCTCGTTCTCCACAGCTCCCATCCTGTGTTCAATCACTGTCCCTTTCTGTAGGCTGACTCCTCCCCCATGGTCCTGATGAGCCCTAACAGCTGTGGGTTCTGCCTCGCTCCTCCCCTCCTGGCTAGAATTCCCAAACCAGAACCCCCAGCTGCTGGTTTCTCTTTCCCAGCAGAAGAGAAGGGTGCTAAGAAAAACTGTGCTACCTCCCCACCTGGATCAGGACAGAGATGCTGTGCATAGTATGAAAACCAGGGACGGAGTGAAGGACAGATCTCCGGATACAGAGAAGCCCCTGGTGCAGGTGTAACTTGGCCGCCTCGGGCAGCACACCCCGCAGGCAGCATCATGCCTCCAATGCACGACGCTTACGCAACCCAAGACAGAAAAGGTCTCTTAACCTGGCCCATCAGTCAGGATTCCCAATAATTTCTACCTCCACCAACCCTAAAAGAAACATTCAAAAGGGAGCAGTAAATGGATGAGCTGGGGGAAGGGTAAGACGGGCTTTGAGGGGTGCCTGGGTGGCTCGGTCAGTTTAGCGCCTGACTTCAGCTCAGGTCATGATCTCACAGCTGGTGAGTTCGAGCCCCGCATCAGGCTCTGTGCTGACAGCTCAGAGCCTGGAGCCCGCTTCGGATTCTGTGTCCCCCTCCCTCTCTGCCTCACCCTGCTCACACTCTGTCTCTCTCTCCTTCAAAAATAAACAAACATAAAAAAAAAGACGGGCTTTGAGAGTGGCGGGCAGGGCATACTCACTGCCTCTGGACTACAGCAGGGCTCTCTCATCCTCAGCATTCGAGGCTGGGTGAGCCGGTGGGGGCACGGTCCTGAGCCCTGGGGGTTGGTCAGAAGGATCCTTGCCCCTCTACCCACTAGAGGCCAACAGCACATCCCCAGTCCTGACAACCTAAAATGTCTCCAGACATCACCAATGTCTTCTGGGGGCCAAAACCACCCCCACTGAAAACCCCTGAACTACACGATCAATGTCAATAAGCCTGAAGTATGACTGGACCACCAACTCAATTAATTCTCTCCTTATTCTTAGCACAGCCAGTTTATAACCCTGAAACCTCCAGCTCGAAGGTTATCACTTACTCACTGCGAGGCATCGAAGCTTTCGAATTCTTCATCCAGAAAAAGATGGTAATAATCTCTGTTTCGAAACCTCACAATTCAACTGACAATATAATGAGATAATGAATGTGAAAGCACTTTGCAAAGTTCAAGGTACTAAACACATACAAAGTGCTATTAGCTTTATCAACACCATCGCCCATAAATGCCTTAAAATAACCTGGTAAAACCGAAAGAGCCCAATTAACAAGACTAAATAGTAGTTCTCTGCATGGGAGGATCTGAGCAAAATAAAATCTGCAACAATGATTCATACACATTCTACACCACAATGAAAAAAAAAATAATTATTGCCCTACAAGCTCTGAGGCAAGGATGTCTAGGAAGGATGGTCGGCTCAAGGGACACACCTGACCCATTCTCTGTGATCAAGTGATCAAGCACTGTCACTGCCCAGATGTGGAATCACAGCCCTTCCAAACCATGACTTATGGGGGAAAAAAATAAATCAGCTTCTTAAGACAAGAATGATTTTAATCAGAATAATTTCATTTTTTAAAACTCACCTCAAGGGGTACACGGGTGGCTCAATTCACTAAGCGTCCGACTCTTAGTTTCGGCTCAGGTCACGACCACACAGTTCATGAGTTCAAGCCCCATGTGGGGCTCTGTGCTGACAGTGCAGACCCTGCCTGGGATTGTCTCTCCCTCTCTCCGCCCCTCCCCTGCTCATGTGCCCTTCCTTGCTCTCTCTCAAAATAAATAAATAAACTTTTAAAAACCACCTCAAAAAATGTAAATTATAAACGACCTTGTGATACAATTTTCTCCTAAACAAAAGAAAATGGTTCCTCTAATAAATTCAAGATTCAAAATTTAAAAGGTACCAGAACGTATACATTGAGAACTTTCCCTCTCACCCCTGGCCCCCAGCTGTCCAGCCTGTAACCTCAGAGAAATATTTTACCCAAATACCCATGAATTCTTTCTCCCCTTCTACGCAGATGGCAACATTCTATACACCGCTCTCTACCTAGCTTCTTCTTAGAGCATTCGCTATCTGTCCATCAAGAAATCCCCCTTGGGGCGCCTGGGTAGCTCAGTCGGTTAAGCATCTGACTCTTGGTTTCAACTCAGGACGTGATCTCACAGTGCATGGGTTCAAGCCCCGCATCGGGCTATGCACTGACAGCACAGAGCCTGACTGAGATTCCCTCTCTCCCTCTCTCTCCTCTGTCCCTCTTCTGCTCTCTCTGCCTCTCAAAATAAATCAACTTAAAAAAAAAAAAAGAAATTCCTCTTTTCTTAAACCATAACTAACGCATGCCATAGTGACAACATTGAGTTGTTTCCAGTCTTTTGCTGTCATGAGCCAAGCGTTAAGAAGAACCCTAACATGCTGTCATTTTGAGAAGTTCCTGGAAGGCAAATTTTGAGATCAAAGGAATCCCCTAGAATTTCACCAAATAATGACAAATTACAATTCAAAGAACCTGTCTCAGTTTATAATGCCTCCAAAAACAAAGGAGTACTAATTTCTTCCTTCCTTTGCCAATTAGGTGTAATGTTTTTCTGTCATTGTTATAAACTGAATTTTGCTCTCCTCCCCAAATTCATATGCTGAAGCCCTAAGCCCCAGGACCTCAGATCTGTAATGCTGAGCCCTGAACAACACAGGGACTGGGGACACTGCCACCCTCCCACACACCCTCCTGAAGTCATGAATCCACCTCAAAAACCTCACTCCTAACAGCCTGCTGCTAACTAGAAGCCTTACCAGGAACATGAACAGTCAACTAACTGTTGACTATTAATAACAGTCATAACATAACATGTATGTTACATGTAGTACACACTGCAGTCTTACAATAAAGCTAGAGAAAAGGTTATTTGGGCAATAAATTTACAGAACTGTAAAAACTCTGCCTGTAAGCAGACCTCAGCAGTTCAAAGGGTCAACTCTATTTGGAGACTGGGTATTTAGACAGGTAATGAAGTTAAAAATCAAGTCATTAGGGTGGGCCCTAATCCAATGTGACTGGCGCCCTTCTAAGACAGGACACAGGTGCACACGGTGTGAAGAAGGGAGAAGTCAGGTGTCTACAAGGCAGGAGAGAGGCCTCAGAGGGGACCAATCCTGCCAACTGATGCCCTGAATTCAGACTTGCAGCCTCCAGAACTGCAAGGAAATACATTTTTCTGCTGAAGGCACCGGGGCTGTGCTACTTTGTTAGGGCAGCCCTAGAAAATGAAGACAGAATCCGTAAGTAGGAAAAATAAAAAAGGAGAGTTTCTTTTACTGTGGCTTGAACACATTCATATACTGAAGAGCCACGTATTATTTTCTTTTCTGTGAACCATCTATTCATATCCTTTGTCCATTTTTCTACTGGGTTTCCGACTTTTTTTCAGATGTAGTAACTTTTAACATATTAGGGAAATTAGCCTCTCATAATGAGCCGCAAACACAGCACTTTCCTCATTTGGCTTTGAGTCTGCTTTAGGCAGTTTCTGCTTGCAGAAAGTAATTTGGTGTCAACACAACATCAAGCTTGCTCGGAACTGTTTGTAACCACTTCCTAAGCATCTGATCAGTGACCTAGCTGGTCCCCACACTGAGGGCTCCCCATGTTAACAACCCTCAGATAC